ACGTGACTGGCTATTTCCAGAACAGGGCTGCTCTGCAACAACTCTCCGGAGCCAAGTTCAACAGCGTATGTGCCAAAATACTCTTTTATTAATAAAAACACAGCTTTGCGTGTTTTGACATGAAATCTTAATATTAAGTCCATCAATAATTAGCTCATTAGCACCAGGTGTGGAGCAACTTGCTATACACAAATTAACACAACCTACATTAGTACATTATATAAAACCAAAATCTCTTAAATTAACACATATTCTCTAAAGATTAAATATAAGATTATTTAAAAAAGAATCCTATCCCATAACATTTGGCAAAATGCACATGATTATCACTATCAGCAGGGGGAAGACTGAGTAAAGTATTGGTCATACTTAACGATAAACCCACCCTGCCCTTTTCCAGAGTGTGCTGCACTGCACCAAGATTGAGCTTTTACCTTTGGGCATCAAAACTTCAATATAAGTTGGTATATAAGTAGCTTGCATTTGAACTTAAATAATCAACCCGCTTATGTTCATTTTCTCATAATTTCTTTCACTTTAGACATTTCTCTAGGATGGGTATAATCTGTTCCAGAGTTTGTTTTTGCCTCCTGCAGAGTAAAACTACCATAGCTGTGGGGGTTTGTGCATTGGAAAGCAAATGTCCCTGGAGGAAGAGATTGGTCTTAAGCAATAACCATGACAAAGCAGAGGAGAGAACGATACCAGAAGAAAAATTACGTTTTATTTCTAGACAGTATGTCAATGATTACTATCAATTGCACAATAAAGGAAAAACGTATTTTCGTGCAGTTCCATGTATTTTGTGCATGACGAAACTCTGGTGTGTGCAATAATGTGCCTTGAAATTGAGACTGAAATGGAGAGGAAAAGAGAGGAGGAGAAGCAGACAGTCCTGGATTTAAAAGTAGATTTTGTCTAGTGTCTGACTGAACAGTGAGTTGACTGAAAAAGGAGGCTTTTTTTTTTTTACTCGTCTGGTTTGTGCCTTAACCGTCTATCTAAACATGAAGCACATTAATTTCACATTACAGTCTGACAGATATCCTTCACAGCTCAGCTCTCCCCTCTGTATGGCATGCCTTTCTGAGTGTGTATAAATGTGTTTGTGTATGCATGGGGCTGGCTGTTAGAATCTTAAAACAGCTGAATGGTGAAACAAACAATGCCATTCTATATTACCATGATCTGTTTTCCTTCCTTTCCTTCTTCAAGCTTGGAAACTTTGTTTTGTTGGACAGTTCTAGATTATTGGCTTACGGAGGGCAGGGGTGATAGTGATAAAACCAGCAGATGTACCAGACTGAAAAAGTTGACAAAGGGAAAGTCGATAGTTCAGTCAGTTTGTCTGTTAGTTTGTATGTCTGCAACACAAACCTGATGAACAAGAACAAATCCATCTTCAGTATTTTTATTGGAACTACTCACAAATTGGATACATCAGACTAAATAATCATTACCATTTTCTGTCTACAGTGTGTGGCCCACACAGCACCGCACATATACACCCAGTGATACCAGCTTTCTTGAACAAATTCCACAAAGTGGAAACAAAAGAGATTTCACTACCTCTTTTTCTTTTATGTGAAGCCTGCAGTTGTAGGTCTTTTGTTGTAGCTATAGGGGTAAAAAAAAATTTTACCGAAGTAATTTCACACAGAGTACTACTTTCAAAGACTCCTCCACAAAACCATTTCAGAGATGAAATGGAAGTTAAATTTGCTTCAGGTGAAGAGATGTAATGTATTATTCACCAAAATGAAGTCTTTCAAAGTTGCTACTTGTCCTTTTGCTTCATACAATCGGATGAGGGTGGAAGTAGAGTTGGGAGCTTGGGAAGTGAGGAAAACAGAGCTATTCTCTCAAACATGACAGCCCTGAAGGCTCCACGCAGTGTACTGTGATGGGCTCCAGAATAGGGAATGAATGCCCACAAAGACAGCAGTGTGATGGGGATTGAAATATGCAGTCAAAAAAACAGGTGCGATGTTCAGGACAGATATCCACAGATGCACATTCATGCATGTGTAAGGTGGATAGTTAAATGTAAATGCTCTATATTTGTATAGAGCATTTCTAGCCCCCCCACAGCATGGGAGTGCTTTTGGTCACAGGAATATTTATCAATATGCACTGTTTTATATTTCAATGTTTTGGGAACTTTGTGTTATTTGGAACGTGTATGAACGTGAATGCTGTATGGAAATAATTAGTGTTTTAAGGATAACTCCCAATAAAAGTCAACATTTACACAGTAAATATTGCCAAAATATGGACATTCGTCTGGTATATTTAAAAAGAAAAAAAGGTTGATAACTGTTGTGTTTATTTTCATCAAATTTACAGTTACAATTGCATTCCAGGTGTATTAAAAGATGATGAAGATTATAATCTGTTTGATGATGATTTTGATTATTGTTTATTGCATTCAAAATGTAGCTTTTTTACCAGGCGAGGATGAAAATATTTTTCTTTATTGCATCTACATTTAGTCTGTAATGGTAAAATAAATATGTTAATTTAGATGTCAATAGATGTATATTCTGACCTTATTCTGACCTTCTGACCTTTCAAATGAGACCAGACTTTTGCATCTAAGCCTAATGGTTGAGGAGTTATTCCTGATTCATTGTAGGTATGTTATTGTAGGTTTTTACTGGAAAAAGGTGGCAGTTACCAAAAGGCCCCACAAACCAATTTTCTCAATCAGCAATTTTTTTCTTAAATTTTCTGCTGATATTACAACATTCCTTTGTGAGGACAATCTTTATTTGTGTTTTGTTTGTGCTTTTCTCATTCACTTCAAGGGGCTGTGCTCTGCTGGAAAAAGCTGATGTCACAATTTCCACTTACCAATCCAGATTTAACAATATAGGAATCAGACTGTGTTGACATTTGTTGAGTTGTTTTACTTACGTGTTGCCAGGAAGATGCTATTGTCAGTCAAAACTGACAAAAAACACAACCACACAGTCCTGAAGAAGCAGATTTGGTTGTTAAACTTGATGGATAATTTCTAACTGGATTTCATCCTCACTTTAAAGTCACCATCCACTTTCAACACAACACAATTCTTAATCGTGAATTCTTACACAATTAAGTCTTGGTGAAGACAGGACCGAGAACAGAGCAAAAAGTCCTTAAGCTGCTCAACTGACACAGAACAAGAGACCCGTGTTTGTGGACACAAATCCAGTGCCCTGGGGGATTTTACAGAGATATTGGTTCTTTCTTTGGTTCATAAACGTCTAAACGTATTATAATGAAACGAAGCTTATTTGGCTATAAAAGCTCAAACTAACAACTTGGCAGATTGAATCACCAAAGCCAATCTGCAATTCATTAACAACAGAGCAGCTGCAGGTTTTGTTTCACATCTCAAATTGCTTTATGTTTTGTAGCTCTGAGAGAGGGTGTTTTAATGTTCAAAAATCAAGGAGGGTGCACTTTTGGATATATATATTTAATGTTTTTATTTTCAATACATTTTATAAATATCCAAATTTTCTTCATTTGGGTAATATCCATGTTTTATTGAACTCAGTTTTGCTCTTTTATAAACCAGTTTCTTGTTTCTCACAAGTACTTTTATTTTCTTCTTCTATTCTTCTATAGAATAGAAGACATTTGCTTTTTCTGCACTGATATATTCTCCATCCATCGTCAACCGCTTATCCTGCACACAGGGGGGCTGGAGCCAATCCCAGCTGACATCGGGCGAAAGGCGGGGTACACCCTGGACTGGTCGCCAGTCCATCGCAGGGCCACACATAGACAAATGACCACTACTGATATATTGTATACATACATTTTTTTCTTACAATTATATTAGGCTTCACTGACAGACTGAATACCACTGGAGATTCAGCAGCACTGCCTCGAAAGACTGTGGGAGTCAATTATACCACTGTGATCTGGGCCATAGATTACTCTTTAATAATATAAGTATCTAATTACTGCCATGCATCCTTCACGCCTCTTCTGCACTCCTTAATCATTATCGCCCACTGGCCTCGAATCACAGCACGCAGACTTGAATAGAAATAACAGCACTGTAGTAAAGATCTCTAATTCATTTTTGTCTTTATTCCTTCTGTCTTTTTGTCATCACTCATTGACTTGAGTTCACCTGATCACACTTTATTTACGGACAGTGCCATAGGACTGAGCCACGTGTTGAGGCTGGAAGTTACGCCATTTCTGCATCGTGTCCAGCTTGTTGTTGCTCTTCATGTCAGGTACTCGCTGGGGCAGATGGTTATGGTTAAGGAGTTTATATTACTCTTTAGTTCTTATCCTGTGTCCATACTAGTTTATATTAGAACTTTTACTTGGATATTTATCTGTCCTTATTCCTTTGAGATGGGCATGTGAGGCAAGATTGTCATTAGGTTCTTTTGTCTTTCAGATTGAACAGCCCATGTGTGTCTTTTCTCACCCCATATATGGTGATAAATGCAACCTTTAAGTTTCAAGAAATAAAGCTTTGTTCAGGGATTTCTGAAGTTTCGTGGATTATTCTATGCATTTTGATCGGATACCCATGGTGATAGCAAACTTTTTATTTTGAAGCACTCACTATTCATTCTTATTACATAGCTGCAGTTGTATACATGGGCTTATGTGTACAGCTTCGCTAAGTGTATTTTAATGTTATCTACTCTGTAACATGTTTCTTGGGATCTGTTGCCTTTGCCACACGCAAAAGCTGTGCAAGTCATTAATAGAGGGCAGAGCTGGGGCAGACACACAGAGCTAAGTGCCTGCGTAGGGCAGCAGCAGCAATTCAAGGAGGGAGAGGCAGAATTCAAACATGCAGAGAAAAGATATACAAAGAGCTGTTGCATGTCAAGTGGGCTGAATACTTCATGTGACAGTCTAATCAAGCTGTGTCTGTCTGTGAAACCACAAATGAAAGAAATGGACAGATGGAGAGATGGGATGATAGGTTTGACTTGCATCACACTGACTGTGTCGCTCTGCGAGGTGTTAGCACTGACCTGATGTCCAGACAGCGCAGCATGGGGTCGACAGCCGTGCCCAGCACACAGATGGTGAAGACGACCAGCAGCAGAGTGGTGGTGAAGATGGTGCGCCTCACTTCTGTGGATGTGTCTCTTAAAGCCAGGCTAAATGCCACAGCCCCCCTTAAACCTGAGAGCAGAGCAGACAAGTGTGAGCAAACAGCTGAATTACTGCCATCCATCAAACCACCAGACAACCATCTAGCAATCAATTATTTGAAAAAGGCAGGAGAGAGCTAACCAGTTAATAACCCTGTCCACAGGTAACACATTACACCATGACTATCACTATCATTGACATGACCAGCAAGCATCCCCAAAACAAACTTCTAGATTGCTGTAGAGTGGTGACATAATACTTAAAGCCAAAACATTCCCAGAGCAAATCCATGAGAAACAGATGGGGGAGGGGGTGGTAGAGTTTTGAAAAATAGCAAGACAAGGGCTTTTTAAAAAGAAACCTTCTTACGTAAGAGGTAAAGTGGGTCAGGCAGGCAGCGAAACATGCTGCTGCGGTACTACCCTACATCACTTCACATCAAACAGTCCTTTCTCCTGCACCATCAAACCATTCAGAGCGTCAACTATTAGTCTCAAACACTAAAGTGAAAGTGACAAAAACAGAAAAGGCTGAGAGTGGATTAAAAAACAATAATCTACAATTCAGACAAAATCGATTAATGCAAAAACATCTCCTGTAATGAGGGTAGTGAATTATTATAAAGCCTGAGGGTGTCACCGGTCTTTGTGTCCTCCCACACACATACACATAAACAGACTTCTTCCACAGGGGACACATTCTCCCATGATCCTCACTAATGCCATTAGCTGCAGGCAGTGGAGAGAATGGAATAATTAAAGAGTTTTAATAGGATAAATTAGAGTACAGGTTTTCAGTTTCTTGCAGCAATAACATCCCCAACACAACATTTATCAGCACAGCAGCCACAGATGTGCTAAGATATTTTTAGCAAGGTCCAACAAATGCGAAATGTTGCTACAAATGAAAGTAAATCACATGATCTTATAAGGTATCATGATCTTAGAGAAACAGTACCTGCAAACATCATGAAGTGCTGGAGCGTTCGATGTATTTTGACCGTGCGTCCCAGGTTTAGGAGGAATGACAATGGGTAGATGTTGCAGGCCCTTGATATAAAGATGGAGAGCTGTTCACGTTGCCCATTAAGGAGAATACTTATGACTGAGACACACTCACAGGCTGAAATGTGGGTATTTTTCTATGAAAATTCCAATGTCTTGGGATCATATTAGAAAGACTGACAGTCCTAGAGACATATTTTTGCAAGAAATGTACTGGTATTAAGCTGTTTGAGATTCAGTCTGGTAGTAAGTTATTATGGTCAGGGTTAGGGTAAATTATTGATAAGTTAAGGTTTTGCTTTATCCATTCTACAAAAGAAACCCCCTGGATGACTTCACAAAGTCTGATGCTTTTAATACATATCAGAGAAAATGGATGACAGTTAATTCCATACTAAATTCAAAAGTACAAATTCTTTGTGAGATCCGGCTGTTAGAGCACATCCATGAATATTAACAACATGCACACACATAAAAAAATAATCTCTGAATTTATTCTGTTTAGGATGCAAACACAGCAGTGTGGCACCATGCCGAGGCATGAAGCCAATCAGGCTCTTCCAGCTGTCTCTGCCCTCAACACGCACTTTGATGTTTCACATAGGATGGGACTGAATGCTAAGTGTCCTGGGCAGCAGTTAGGGAGAGAATATCTGTACAATAATCAGGGACACAGCTACCATCCAGAATACACTTAACATCTTTTGTAAGACTTTTAGAAGAAGTTACTGGAGCCCCTTATAACCTCCTAACCTAACTGAGCCTGTGTGAAGCCAGAGTGGTACCCAAGTTAAGGTTATAAACCAGAGAAGGCTGGACTGGGACTTTTTACTAAAAAATGAATTTTGGTGCATAAAAATCATCTATGCAGACAGGTGCTCCTGCTTTATCATCAAGGGGACATGGGATTTTAGCTATTCTACAGTAAGTGCAAATATGACGCTTGGAATAATAAAGGGACCAATATCTTGGGCAGAGGACCTTAGTCTGACAGGGGCTATTACTAAAACTGAGCACCCGTGCACCCTGCCGTCAATATTAGATCTTGTGCACCCTATGGATTTTTATAAGCAATATCCTTCTCCCAAAAGCAGTCATTTCTCTTTATCAAAGGCCTCTGAGCTATTTGAATGGAGGTAATTAAACACTTTCATCTCAGCCCCATTTCCACTAAAGCCCATCTCCATTGTCACTGGCAAAGGCTGCAAGCTACAGTGATTAAAATCTACTGCGTAACCAAAGAGCGATTAACAGGGTTGAATCACTCGGGTTATTCCATTTTTATAGACACTGTATTTGTACTATTTAGCACTGTACAAGAGGACTTCGATCTCCATTTATTCCTGTTTCTACATCCGGGTCAGCTTTCAGTTACAGAAGTCAGCCAGATTTTTTCACTCTAAGCTTTTGTTATGGAAGCACCATTGAGCTAAATAGGCTCAGTGTTCAAGTCAAACACTGGCAGCCCCTCATACTGAACATAAGCGCGCTGGAAAAATAATCTGCTCTGTCGACTCTTTCTCTGGCTCCTTTGACCCTATGGTGGAAGATGGATTGTAATAATAATTGCTGACCATCTGGGCACTGGACTGTGAAAGAACAACTCCTTGGAGTGCGGCCACTAGAGTCTCTCCTCAGGCATACGCTATGGTAATGTCAGCTCTCAGGCAAGGACAATTGCAGCCGTCGGGCTATTACTACCTCCGTTCCCCTCAGGAAGTCAAGCTGATGTATACAACAACTGCTGTAGATAGTTTAATTTAAACATGTGATGAGTATCATTAAGAGGCTTGTTGCTTTTTGATAACGTAACATGTATCGTGCCTGCATTGCATTCTGGTCTGTAGAGACTCCTGTCAGGGGAGAAACTAATGATAATCTTCTGTGGTGGATTTCTGCCTGCATTGTTTTTGAGTTTAGGTGCAAAATATTAAGTCTATAACTCTTGCTCTTTGATTCTAAGCAGTTTTCACCCTAAAATTAATATTTTCTCTTAATGTTTTATATGGCTGTATATTTTTCTTCTGTCCCATAACATTGAAGATACATTAAAGGTATCTGAATGTAATGCCAAACTGTCTACTAGGGCAGGAACTAATAAAAATGCATCTGTCAACTACTTTTCTGAGTATTTAATAAATCATTTAGAACAAAATCGATATCAGAACAAAAGTGAAAAATGCTCCTAAGCCTAAGTTGATGTCTTCTAATTGTTTTGTTTGAGAAACAGCCCAAAACTGAAGGACATTGATATGAAACTGAAAGTAAATTTTTGCAGTTGAGAAGCTGGGACCAGTGAAAGCTCAAACAAGATAAATATACAATCAAACAACATCTCGCTTTTCTGGGCAACAAAAGTGAATATGCATCACCAGTAGTGTTAAAAGCATTTTAGAGTGAATTTCCCCCTAATATTAACGAGATGGGAACACCATAAAGGACAGCAGGAGCCTTTTTCACTGGAGTTTCTAGAACTAATAACATTTAATCTTCAGCCTCAACAGGGATACGGTGGTTAATTCACAACAAATTAAAGTACTATAAGCTTATTTCAAGCGGGCAAACATCTTTACCCCACTGAGCTTTGCTAGAGAACGGAAAACAAGCAGCAGTAACAATAATTAAAGACCTATTTAAATTTATGTTTCACAGGCATTCCTCAGAGCAAATGCTGCACTGCAGCATCTTAATCTGCAGAGATGGTGATCATGGGAGACTGGCTGAATGGCTGAATGGCATTTGCAGAGCTCACCAGATCAAACCTAGTGCTGATGGTTCTTTTTTTTAAAGGACTGGGGAAATTACTGCACTGCACTGCAGCAGAGAGGCAAGATATAAAACAGCAAAAGCACTCTGGTCAAATAAGTGGCAGATGATTGTGCAGATATGGATAATGGCAGAAGTTGGAAGGCACAGAACAAAACTAAACAGAACACATTTTCTGGGGTCTGAGTGGGATCCAAAGGCTGTACAGCAGGGAGTGAAGATGTTCCATCATATAACAGAAAAGGATACAAATGCCCCAGAAATGAAGAGGGCTTTGAAGACATGGTGAGGAAACGTCAACAATACATATCCCATGTAGCTGGAGATGAAAATCTCCCCCAGGAAGTTGAAGACTTCAAAGAGCTGCAAATTAAAAAAGGGATTGAGAGGATCACGAGGGAGAAGGTCATCCGAGATGGGGAGGAGTCCAGGGTGGATGGTGTGTGCGTGTGTGTGTGTGTGCATAGGAAGGGTGAAAGTGAAGGTCTCAGATCATATCTGAAATTAGTAAACAGGCTTAGATCTGTACAAGCATGACAAATCCAGGGTTGATATTATTCCCTGATCCTTTGAGGTAGCAACTGCAAACATCTACAACTCGAGGTCATAATGTGTTTGCATTTAGCACCAGACATGTTTTGTCATAATTTGCTTGCCGTTTGTGGAAACTTGGAAAGAATAAAAGAGTAGATCTAGATTGTGGACTTAAAAAGACAGCTAATAATTTGTTCCTTTCTTGTGATACTTCCTGGTAGATGAATATTACAACTAATCAACTCAGTCGTACAGTTCCTGTAATGATCCCGGTCATATCAAAGAGCTTGGATGTCATTTACTGTCGATGAAAATAGAATTTGAATCATATTAATGAAATATTAATTAAGGCCCTTATGTTGTATCTGGATTCAATTAGAGCAGATGTTATGATTTCATTAATGATTTATTAATGTCTGTTTTTACCAGTTGCACCAGTTTTGGTTAAAGGCCTTGATAAAAAGCTATCTAATTGCATAAGTGTACCTTTTCCCTTAAGAGGCTTGCATCACAAGGCGTATAAGATGCCACAGAAAAAAAAGTCTCCTACTAGCTATTCAACTAGTGTCTGCAAACACTAAATCACTTTGTCTTTCCCTTTGAGCTGCATATGCTGTATAAATCATAAAAATGTAGATAATAGCATTCTGCCAAGTAAACATCCTGCACCATGCACATGCATTGACTACTGCATAGCCAGTTCACTTTATAGGCAAAGGCTTCAACTGTGCTGCATAGCTTTTTAAAAGGCTTTTCTTTGATAAACAGTTATCTCCACTGTGGCACCGATAATGAATAATAAATGCATAGATGAGTATATGTGTGTACTTCTGATTTATTTGCTTCTCTGTAAAGCTTGCCGGTATAGTATGACAGTCTGCTGGCCTCCATCTGCGCTCAGCCTTTTAAGCAGATAGCTGGAGACTGGCCTCCCACACAGACTCCCACTGGATATCCAGAGCAGTAATGGCAATTAATGATTGCTTGCGCACATACACAAGACACAAACATTGGCATCAAAAGGCAATGTGAACAAAGTGAGTAGATGAACGATGAAATAGGGCTCAATCTTCCTCCATAAACCTACCTGCTTAGTCCTGGTCCTGCCCTCGGAGGATAAGTTGTGATGTGTGTACCTTGCCTGGCTCAAGCCACAAAACAGCACCGCCACAATACCTGAAAGATAAAGGAACATTCCAAAATTTAAAAGGGGCAACAACCAAACTGCCAGCAAAGTGTTAAACATCCATCGACATTTTGTGGAAAAAAACTCATAGAGGAGTGTTGTGTAGACAAAAGGGAGTTGTGCTGGTATCTAATTAGAACAATGTACACAAAATTGCTTATACATGCACATATTATGTAATCAGGCTGTGTGAGATGTGTGCTGGTTAACACACAGAGCATTGTGGCTTCTGCTACTGAGAAAATGCTAAAGGAAATTCTTTCATCATGGGAAAGTTATGTGTGAGTCTTTATCTGCATGGTTCAACCCAGCATTTTTTAATGGAAGCAGCTGAGTTCACAAGACAGAGATACAGTGACTTCCAGTTTAGTTGATACTAGTTAACATGATTCTAAAATGTAAATGATGGTAAAATATAACAAATATTAACAGATGTATGTTAAGCGTTGCCCCAAAAGTGCAAGAATCAAATTGTACCCTCCTGGGTGCAGCTACTTCTGCATTCAAGTATAAAGTATGTGACACCAGATTAGCCCAACCCTGCATCCACCTTGTCCTGGTTCCAGTGAAGTACAGCTGTATAAACAGCTTAATCAAGATGTACTGTACAATTCACTTCAAACATCCACATGTTTCTGGCCAAAGACTTTACTTTCATTTCTACTCTAGAGACATGAATCACTGTGAATGATAAATGCTAAAGGATGACATCATCACTCAAGATCGTGCCAGATGCGGAGGAGCAGAAATTTACAAAAGACAAACAAATGACAAGCCAAAGTACAAAAGGGAAAGAAAGGCAGCTCCACAGAGAGAGGAAACAGGGTGGAGGGAGTGATTAGGGCCCCTGCTGGTAAAGAGGAGGCTGACTGGAGCAGAGAGCTGGAATTTGAAACGCATAGCATGAAAGGTGGTTTGCTGCCTCATGCTTGCTTTGTTGCAGAAATTCAATTTCACATTTTTGCTCCCTCTACTTTGAGAACGAATCACAGAAGGTGGAAAAATGGGAAATTACTGTGATGGCTAGCAATAGTTAGAGGACAGGGCTGGCAGCCATAAATACAGCAGCCGAGAGAAGATAGCACCTGTGGTTCAGGCTGCTAAGTGAAGCCAGTCCATTACTCTCTCTCTTCACCATCCACCTTCACACTAGGATGCTGACCTGTACCTGCACTATGCTAGCTCCAGTAATCCCTGTTCACAATGTCCTTTCCAGCACTGTTCAACAAAGTCTAATGGAGCATGCCAGCATGGCAAATCTCATTCTGGTTTAGGGCAACAACATCCTCCTTGGTTTACATAACACTGGCAGAGGTAACACATCATCCACCATCCACAGAAAGACTATTCCACACAGGGCACTTGGCAACAGATGAGACGCATCCCATAATGAACAGTTTTGAGGGGCATAGGATTAATGATAGCGAGGCACCCTGTGAGGTTGAGGTTCATTAGGCACACCCTCACTAAACTCCAGCAATTAACAGAGACCGAAAGAACCTCGATTAACAAAGGATACCAGTGAGGACTCCCATCGCTCACTGACTAGATCTGTATGAGCTGCCGCTTCACCCCAAATGAACCATATAAGGCCTTTGAACAGAATAGCACTACACAGATTAATTGTGTAGGGTTTAATTTTGTACCCAGAATTTTGAATATTACAATAGTACTCAGTTTTAGATTACTGTGACAAAACATCAGCAGCAAAACAACACTGCAGGTTTGTAGTATTTTACATTTAGCCCTGTAATACATTAAACAGAAGTTGTATGTGCACTAAAAATACCTGAGGCTCTGCATCAGATATTGAGAATAACTGCCTAGGTTTTGCTGCCGTGTGCCTCCCACACTCTGCCACATTTGGAGCGGTGTACTTTATAAACAGGGCAGCTGGGTCCAATAGACAAAGGTTACGCTATTTCATTAAAACCATCTTCCTCCTCCACAGACTACAGGGAATACTGCCAAGTAAGATGGAGCACTACAACATCAGCTGAATGAGTGGACTTCCTCTGACACAATAAGGGCAGGAGGAACAACAACGCTAATGCGTGCATATGTACATTCATATTTCAGAATAACATTACCGGTCGACGAAGTAATAGATGAGGAAAATTCCAGGCAGCTGAGCCAAGCTACCTAAGATTTCAGATACTATGAATCAGTAAGAGAAAACAAAAAACAATGAAATAAAGAGGCAACCTCCCCTTCATGAATAGTAACACAGGTCACGTGTTATTCATTTTTACATGAGACCTGAGCTCTTCTTGACTTTCCAGGAAACCTACACATACAGCAAGAATGCTATTATCCTATTATGGCTTGCTGTTATCTGTGGTACCGTCTCCAAACTAAAGGTACGGACATGCACAAACAGAGGAAGGTGGACACCATTTTAAAATGAGTTATGGGGGGTGAGCCCAGAATGGGATTGGCACCTGCAGTTCCCTGTAGACTGGAGATGGCTTAACACTTTCTCATCTGTACACTACTGACTCGCTACAATGCCAAGGACACTCAGGTAAGATATGTGTGTGTATGTAAGGGAAGGCCATCTTCCGATACTGGTGTGGGTTAAATGACAAGAACGTTTTATCCGTTTTTGAGCAGGGAATTGCACAGGCAGTCATGTCCAGACAACAGCGAATGTGCACACATCACTTCCAGTTTTGTAGAGTGCCAATGGCCGCAGAGACGCCTTGAAGCAGCAGAGCTTGCGAGTCAAACAGCTGTTCGTGCCACTGATATTGTGGAGCAGCGAGTGACTCAGTGCATGCAGCTGAGCAGTGACCCCTGAGGGGGAAAGGGCAGCAGTTCACTAACAGGATTTGTATTCTGTTTGACCTCTTTGCTACCCAGGGCTCCGACATGGCCACACACACACAATATACAAGTCCTATAGCGCTCACCTGAAAGTCCACTGGCTTCAGCTGAGAGGAAGCTGCTCCAGGACAGCAGGAAGAAGACTGATGTTTCCAGCAGTGGATTCTCACACAGCCGAGTGAATTTGGTGAGGTGGAAAGATAGTTAAAGATATACAAGAAGACACTGATATAGTATTTAACACTTTGCATCAGGCTAATACACAGTTGGAACTGCAACTGCAATTAAAATGTGTGACTGTTGTGGCAGGCTACATGCACTCTCCAGTGCGACAGTATGCAAGCAGAAAAAGAGTGCAGTATCTGCAAACAAAAAACAATTGCAGAAGGTGCTCCCTAAGTCCGAGGATTTTCCAGCAGTCCACATCCCTCTCCTGCTTTTTCGCTGTCCCATATCCCCTCTGGCAAAGTTTCCCTGTAAACTGTACAGAAAGTTTTTACACAGTGTACTTATAAAGAACGACACAGGTAGGGAGTTCTGTATTTGTGATAATCACACAGAAAGTGAGGATGAGTGGGGTTAAGCACTGTAAATATTACTATTTTAGGACTGATAATTATTTACAGTATGCTACTCTATTTCCCTAAACCCTCAAATGCCCTGTTGGCTTACAATAATGAAAATTTCCCAAATCTTCACTTGCTGTAATTACAGGTCGAGAGTAATTAAAAGATAACTGAACAACTGTACGTCAAAGTGAATCTTGTGTTTGAAGAGACAGCACAAAAGAGCAAGCTGTTGCTATGGTTAGCATCAGCAAAATCTAATAATGCTCACTTTGTGATTTGCTTCGCACCCAGAGATTAGTCACTGTAAATAAGAGCTGAGCTGTGCCACAAACCTCTCACGACACACCCTCATTTTTCATCCTAAAGATCAGAGAGAAATGCTGGACAACAGCGCAAGTCGAAACTTCATCGAAGGCTATTGGCTTGATTGACGACCTCTCTGCAACCATGTTGCATGAGCACTTGAGACGTGCCTGCGTTGCTTTCGTTGATAAAGGTGATCCAGCAGGGGTTTGTTAGAGAGGCAATTACCAAGTTGAGGATGTGGATAGATTGCAGGGGATACAGAGGTGATAATTGAGTTCCGGGTGCAGAGGCAGAGATGGGAGGGGATGAAAGGATATGAGGGCTGTGATGACTGTGAATATGAAACCCACGAGGAAGGAACCGCAAAGCACTCCAAGAAAATAACCAACAGAGAGGAGGAAGGTGGGGGCGTCGAAGGTGTGTCTGGCACCCATCTGGCTATAGGTGGTGATGGCACTGGAAGACAAATTGAAACAACATACTGAAAAAAGGGCACACACCTGACAAAAAAGGCAAACTGTTAGGGAACGAAAAGAGGCCAATAGCACAATTACGACAAAAGTAAATATGAATTTTACTGATGCTGAAACATTAAAGCAACAGCATGGTTTATGGCTCTGAAACAAGTGCAGTCATCAGAAATATGGCCCACTAGGTTCTTGGTGTAAACCAGTCTGGAGCTGTGAGCATAAATTCACATGCTTATTATGCTGAGCTAAGCCTTTAAGTGTAATTTACTGGAGTCATTCCTAGGAATACAAGCCCTCCTTTAGAAGTGAAATCCTTCCCTGAAAAACAATCCATTCTGAATTATTTGCCCCGGACAAATCCCAGAGTGGGAAACAGAGGAAATACTATTGTTGTTCACAAAGACAGCAGGATCATGCTATTCAAACCCTATAAATATTTACTTTGAGGGGGGAGGGGAGAGACATCCACATGGAAGTCGTTGAGTGCAAAACGGGCCTCAAAGGGAGAGGGAGGGAGCAATTGGAAGAGGGAGAGAGAAAGAGAGGGGGCCTGAGGTGAAGCAAGCAGAGACAGGCACCCATGCGAGTCGCTGATGGAGCTGGCTGCCTGTGTGGAATGACAGCACTTCTTCTCCCACCCCACCCAACAACCATGTACTCCCCTAAGACTTTAACTGTTTTAAATTAATGTCAAACCAGCGAGTCAGCAAAAACAATGTGAAAGTGGTGGTTGTTGTTTTTACTTCCTACATTTAATGGGACAGACCTTCTGCAAGCCAGGGAAACTCCCAGAAACTTATTTTATTCTCCAGCTACCATGAAAATGGAAGGCATTAGATCCTTACAGTGTCAAAAAAATATGTCTGAACCCATAATGTATCTGCACTTTTCATGCTGTCAGGTTGAAATGAGCAAGCACACACCTGAACATGCCTTAATTTCCATAGCAAGAGGAGAAGAATCAATTAAGCTGTCTCTAATGAGCTCAGAAAGCTGAAAAAGGTCAAATCCATTACCCTCTATGTGAAAGTAAAAACTCCAGTTGTGTTAGCACATTAAATTTGGCCACTAGCAACTCAGTCAGTGTGACCCTCTTGGGACTGTCTCTTCAGGCATCTCGGGTTGTTAACTACCAGTCAAAAATCTCAAGATGTCAACATTGGTCCTAGATTGAATGGTGATTGGGTCAGGGCTGCTGGAGCAGGACGTTTAGTGCCTGTGAGAGGGCACATCAGCGTAAGGTTGAGCTGCTCAGGGAGCTTGTTAAAATTCCAGTGCCAGGACCCCGCGTGGCTCACTAATAAGGGCCCGCTTTGTGTGTAGAGCCAGGGCGACCGGCAGGCTAGCGAGCCAGTCAAGTGACAGGAGGTGGCATGAAGGCTGGTCACGCCACTCCAGGAACAAATGCAGCACTATCTGACTGTTTGAGCGGGAAGACGTGCAGGCTCCTTCTTCAGCACTTCACTGTACACAGAGACAGCAGAGCCATGGCGCGAACAAAATCTGCACACGCGCCTCCTTTTCTCTCCATCTGCCTGCTTGTCTGGGCCAATTTATGCGGTCGGAGAAAGAGATGTCAGAGTGTGCAAGTACTGTACATGTGATGTGTCAGTCTGTGTGAATGCAAAATGCAAATATGGACACATAACATATCCATGTCATCTCCCTTCCACCTCCATTTTTTCATCTGCCTGTCGGGTCATGAGTGTGGACCTGTGAGTTCTCTCCATCTCTCTGCTCCTCATCTTGCCATCTGTTAGCACGTCTACTTGAACGGCTTTTTTAACTAGAAATGTGTAAATAGAGCAGACAATGACTGCAATGTGTGTGAAATGGACAGACATGCATATTTCAGTGCAATGCTAGAGAAAGGGGAAAAGTAGAAGGAATGAATGAAGCAGCTGAAATGCACTGAGAAGGCATGACTTCATCAAGGCTACCTTACTGAGCTTCCGAGGAGTTTATGCCGAATTTTGTGCTGAATTTGACAGTTAGCCGAGTTTGTTAGCCGAAAGTGTGTCTCTACTCTGGCAGTGAGTCTCTCCACTGAGTACCTTAATGAGATGCTGACAGTGCCAGGGGCAACTCGCTTACGCAGTCCACTGCATAGCATCTGAGGCACTCATGCGGTTTTACCAATCACACCCTTTCCTTAAAGCTGGCAGCATCTATTCAGCCTTCCCTCCCACACACATCCACCCCCATAATGCCAACTGGAAAAACTGTGCTCCTACAATATTAAACCTAGAAATATATTACATTCTGAGGGCAGAAACAAATCCAAAAGCGATGTACTTACTGTGTCATGACGACGGCCACAGCGTCGTTCAGGACACTCTCGCCAAAGAGCAGGGCGTGCAGATCCAGGTCTACACGCAGGTCTGACAACAGGCCAAGTACTGAAACTAAAAAAACAACAACAAAATAACAAGAGTTATTGCTATGTAAGACTGCAGGAAACACAATACCTCCTCTGTTAATCACACAAGAAAGTGCTGAGGAGTGCTCACCTCTGCTATTACAAACAAGAGAAACCAGGGGAATTAATGTTTCAGTGTAACAATGAAAGCTGACAGCAAATGTCAGCACAGTGACACCACTGGAAAGGGGATTTTGACACTTGGAGCCAGCAGGAGTAAGTAAACCAAGCAAAGACTTGTTCAGCCCGAGTTGAAGAAAACACACATGTTTTGAAAAAGACAATATTTATGTCTGCAAAGGAAACAGAATAGAACAGAAAAAAAATGTTACAAGAATCATTATCCTTTTTCAATGATTATTACTCTTACAGTAAAAATGGTGATTAATTAAACATTTAACTGATTAAAATGTTTTTTGTAAATAGTGTGATTGATGTGAAATGAACAGCAAGAATCACAATTCAATTGAAAAATATGCCTAAATGCACATTTTTAAGTAAAAAGGTTTTTGAGTGTGTGATTTTATTTTATTTTATAGTATTCCTTTCATAGTTTCCTGTGTCTGCAAATCATAGTCATACCACCTGTTGTCATAACTGTCACGCCCAGCTCCTGCAGATAGGTCATGTATTCAGTTTTGCCTGATACCACTTCCTGTTGCACTTCAGTGACTTATCTTGTGTCTAGTTTCAGGTCTTCGTCTGCCTCCCCTCCTGTGTGATTGCCAGTCCCCGCCCTAATGTGCTCCCCCTGTGTCTCGTTGTCTCCCATGCCCCAGTGTATATAAACCCTTGTTTCCTTTGTGCCTGTGCCAGTTCGTCTTGATCCTTTGTGTCAGCGTTCCAGCTATTTCCTTGTGTTTTGACCTTAGCATCGGTTTTGACTTCGATTTCTGCCCTGCGATTCTGTACCTCTGCCTACTAGTTTTTGAACCTTGTTCAATAAACTGCCTTTTGCGAACCACTTGGAGTCGTGCCTTGTGAGTCCATTACATCAGTGTGAGCCTTGATAATAACATGGCAATCTGTGAGTTGCTGGCAGCAGTACCACGACCAGATATCTCAAATCATCCAACTAAAGTAAATGACTGAATTACGTGATATAATTTGGATATTTTTGGGTCTTGGTAGTTACAGACTGTTACAATTTCCTTATTGTTAGCGCTGCAGGTGTATGAATAGACGTGGGCATGCGTTTATTAGCTTGGGGCTTTGCTTCAGTTTTCAATATAGAGAGTTCATGACTAGGATTCTGAGAATCTTGAGAGGATGCTGGTGGGAAAAGGGGGAGATTTCATCCAAAAGGACCTAATTGCAATCAAATGTGGGGAGAACGACAGGCAGAGAGCTCTATGCTTTAAATAATGTAAGATTCACTCACTTTTTTGACGCCACACACAAGAACAAAGGGTGGGTTTACTGATCACTGAGAGAAAAAAAATCCTGAAAGTTTAAAGCAAAATGTGCCAAGATGCCAAAGGAGAATCATTTCCCACAATTTTAAAATATTACATTTCTAATGGTTACAAATGAACGTTGAAGTTCTGGGTAAATTAAACCCTTAATTTCGCACTTCTGTGTCTGATGCTCCTTTCTTGCTCTTTTCCTCATAACATTTAATTTGCCTTCACTGTTTGATTAATAATAAGGCTCATAGCACAAACAGTGGCAGAAACTAAGTTTGAATTAAGTAATCAATTAAAAGGTATACATATGCAGTATATCTAATGCATACTATTTCTTCATCTTAATTAAAAAAGCACTTTCTCAGCCTTGAAAATCATATTTTTAGAATACAGACAACTTGTTAATCACTTATTCATACAGCTGAATCTCTTAATGCAGTGCATCTGCTGAGAGGAATATGAGCTGGACTCCACGGTGAGTTCACCAACAGTAAACATCAAGAGGAAGATGCTGAGCATATGAATAGCGTGTGCACAGGCAACATGCTTGGCACCATCACACAACTAAGTGTTGACACTGATTGACAAGGAAAATACTGACATTGACAAGGTGGTGACATGCCTGAAAAGGAGAGCACTTATCTGATCTCCTTCTGCAAGATATCAGCTGTAGCATTGTTGACTTTATGTTTACTGATACCGCAGATTAGATTACGATTACACCGGATTGGATTTCAAGCCTAACCTTAACCCTAACCTTGACCTTATTCTAACCCCAATCCAAAAACAAAGTCTTAACCCTGAAACAGCTCTTTAAACACACACAAACACACACTATAAGGATAGAGGCATGGACAGGAAAACAGAAACTCAGAGTGTTGCCATTCTGAAGGCCAGACAACATCATATTCAAAACAGCTCCCACTAGATTAACATTCCACCTGTTGAGACCAAGATGCAAAAAGACTACTATAAATATGTTCCGGGAAAAGTTGTGATATGAATAATGATTTAACTCTAATAGCGGCACTTGGCCCAGTAGTGAACACCAGGCCAGTGAGGGCATTGCAGCCAGTATATGACCAGACTGACAATAAGAGCAGTGGCAAGAGAGCAGCCTCCGGACTTGTTTTGACAGATCTGACTCTTTGGTCTTTGACAGTTTTAAAGCTCTTGCTGGTTTGGGGAAAATCCTCTATCTGGAGAGGTGAGGCAGGCCCTGGAGTCAGGATTGTTCCATCTCCCTGCTCCCATAATGCCTGGCTGATGACAGAATGTCGTGCACCAGTCACAGTTGGAGTTGTAAAAAACAAAAAATGAAATGAAATAAAAAATATAGCCCCCCCCCCACACACGCGCACGCGAGGGTTCGCTGTGTTGCCATGGCAACCCCGTCCTACAGCTGTCAAGTGTTCATCAGTTTCCACAGCAACAGCATAAGGTGGAGAGAGTAGACAATTATTTCAGACATAATAAGGGTCGAATGGAAGCCTTATTAGGTCAAATTACCCTGCTGCAGAGGTTTAGCAGAGGCAAAGCTCATGGCCATGCCAGGCAGACATTACGGGATTTGCTCGCTGATTCGACCAAATTAGGCAGATATAATACTGAAAGTGATACATTAAGAAAGAGATAACGGTCAACAGGGAATTAACTATAATCTTCCACAGCTCCGACTTTAAAAGTGCTTTTTTTTGTGCCATAGACAAGTGCACAAACAGGGATCACAACACTGCCACAGGAAAAGCCTTCCTCACAGTTTGAAAGCAAGTAAACCAGCACTTATATATATATATATAATATTTCACCGGTTTTGTTTACTCTGAATCTCACAGTAGTTCCTTGGTATGTCAGGACAAGGTCTCTTTAAAATATCCATTAATTCTAGCAACTTTGTATAAGCTATAAGCTAAAAAAAACTAAATAAATCTGCCTTTTATTTTTTATTTTTTACTTGTTGCTTAAACAGCAACAAGTGAAATGTTAAAATATTGCTAATTAGGGTGAATGTGCTTAGTAAATACTAATTGTGGCCTGTGTTTTCATTATTGCCTAAACATTCTGTTACCACTGCTCTGCCGCAACACTAAATTAGTTCTGTGTATAATATTGTAATATTGCTGGTAAGTTGAGTCATGTGGATTTCAACATTCACTTTAAATCTTGGTAGACACTGCATTTCCCTGACATCTGATGTAGACAGATGTAAACAAGTCATTTCCAACTCTGGCATCATTTCCAGCTCAGACATACAAAGAGAAATATGTATGTGCAGTAGTCCACCTCAAGAGAATCCTGAAAAAGAAAACACTAAATAAATACAAACTCAACAGCAGCAGCCTTACCACTCAAGTTAAGCGAGGGTTTGACCAACCTTTTGAAACCACCCTTGAGGCTAGAGGATGTAGCGCAGCAGGCGTTCCATCTGTGACCTGAACCATGTGTTGTCTGAGTACAAGTTTCATGGCTACAGAGCTTTGGGGGCTTATATAAAAATAAATAAATAAATCAATAGATGCACACTGAAAGGAACAAATAAGAACCTACTAGGGACATTTGTGCCTCATAAGAATAACATATTGTCAAATAAATATCAATAGAGACATATAAAGACAAATACTTAAATAGTCTTCTCCTAAAAAAGCCCTTAAATACTCTCCAAAGCAACATATATATATATATATGTATGTGTGTGTGTGTGTGTGTGTGTGTGTGTATGTATATATACATATATACACACTTTGGTGTATTCATTGCCAAACTACTACTGTTGCTTGCTATTTGCTGCTCTCAGAGGAAACTTTCATTCAGTCATTATAGCTGCAATGACAAACTAGTCAATCAAATATATCTGTTATATTCCAGGTCCAGTGCAAGAAAAGTGGCAAATAAATTGTGCTTCCATTTCCCTCAAAGCTTGTGATGACTTTCACAGTGTCAAGATTTCCATCATTTCAGTTAGTGACATAGTTGCAATTGCACACATTTGTTCAGTGACACAATCAGTGAGCTGTCACACTAGGGTTATGAAGTGGACAAAGAGTCGCTGTGCCTGTGTGTATTGTATGTGTGTGAAAGTAAGTCTGTTGCCTGTTTCTAAAGTGTTTGGCCCCCATGAATGCAAATGTACAAGGGCTGAGAAATGGACAGGGAAATTTTAATGGCTCCCTTTCAGAAAATCAGACAGCCGGCGCTATATTTGGACAGGGCGAGATGGAGACAGCCTAGGGGTCTTGGCGTTTGGACCATCGATGCATTACAGTGTGATTGTAATCAAAGTGACAGGGGCGCTGGGGTCGGCTGGGATGAGCACTGCGTGGTATGGGGAAATAACGCCAGTCAGAGTGACAGCTGCGCCATAATCTACAGCTCCTCTTTGACACTCACCCAGATCAACCACTTATTGGTGTACATAATTCATTGCCAAATGAGGACATTAACGTTGCCACTGTAGCGGTGTCGCAGGATGCCTTGTGACATCCCACTTGACTGTTGAAGAACACAGATGATATTGCGAATTCAAAGCAGTTACAGCTACTGAGAGGGCATTGTGACTTTGTTCCTGCATATAGGCTCGGCTATCAATCTCTTTTATCCGTCACTGTGCAAAGCTATGCAGACGAAGAAAAGGATGGCTATACATAAAGCAAGAACAGAATGTTTCACTGAGGAAGAGATAAATATTATTATTAAAAGGGTCGACATATTATAGATGTCCAAGTGGTTTAACATTACAATATTAAATCTTATACTATTTTGTGGCTAGCCTCCACCTCACATACATTTACACCTGACAGTATCAGTATGTGTGCAATAGGAAAAGAGCTCCAGAGAGCTGTGAAAGAACAGCAAGAGCCAGGTTTGACCTTTTTAAACATGTTTTCTAATAGTTAACTCCGCAGTACCACACCAAAACCCATAAACTGTAGGAATGACAAATCGACAGTTCGTTGAACAGTCTTAACACATTATGTGTCTTTGATATTTTTTTGAATTGACTTCTTTTTCTTTAACTCATTTGTATGTGTATGTACTTAAGGCAGATTTCTGCAATGTGTCTATTACATATTCACTGTGAACAAGTGCCAAACAGGTTTATATCTGTATTTTTTTTTTTTTTTAAATCTATGTTGCCACTAGAAGAGTGTGAGTTCCTTTATAAGGCCAGCTACCTGGATCAGTGGCTGATATAATGGCACCAAACAGAAGGCAATCAGTAAGGTAGAAGTCTCCATCTGCTGCTCGTCCCAACAGCACCATCAGTCTGGTGAAGCTGTAGACGCAGGCCCTGGAATTGAGGACAGACAGACATAAGGACAGACAGTGAGGTCATCATGGAGCTCCAGACATAGCAGGCCTATCAGTCATCCCTCTAACCACAGCAGGGCTTCCCCCAGAGAAGTCTGGGTAATGGGGCCAGACGCTACCAGCAATTGACCCGTTTCCAGGCAGCGGCTGCTTACCACAGGTGCACAAACAAAGCTGTGACTACACTGGGTAGCAAGTGTGTGTGGATCTACATGGCTCTCCCTCGCAATTCAACCTGCATAATACACCTGCACACGTGACAAACATTCTTGTTAGAAAGCTTATCTCAGCGCTGATTCATCTTCAACCCTGGCATCCTTTTATTTTAAGAATTCATAAGAGTTTGTGAAGGGCATTGCGATAAAACAGAAGCAGTCATTTTATCAGCTCTGGGTCCTGGAGCTCTAAAAATCTAACTGTCCCAGAATGCACCACTGTATGCTTTCCCTAAAATACTGTACACTCTGAGCAAAAACTTGCTACCATGTAAATTCAGCATCCAACGCTGCAGTTCAGCTCCTGACTGGTAACGAATGTGTGTTAAGTACTAATCCTGTTACTGTGAAGGATTCCATAATAATTACTTTGCCAGCGTGTCCTCTGGGGAACCTTTCTGCCCATTGGCATACCTCAGTTACCATAGTGACAGCACATGACCTGTCCCTAACACCGGGATTTAAAGTATGGCCCTCAGGTCGAGCAACTAAGCTGTCTTACTCTTGTATCTTAAGGGAGTTATGGTAATGAGGTTCGGTGTGTGGGGGAGATACAGAGACAGAGATAGAGAGAAAGTGGATGGTCTTTGTCATTTGAGTCAGAAAGGTCCTCTTACTCCCATGACACTCTCTCTTCCCCACAGGATATGGCTGACTAATAAGCAACATGATTGGTTAGGCCTGGTGCTTTCGCATCAAAGAATGTGCACGTGACCCAACATGTCAAACCCTTCCTTGCGTCCTGGGGAAGGACTAATAAATGGAACAAAGAGAAGCAAGGAAAGAAAACATATTTTAACACTAGGTTTCAGCAAGTTAGAGAAGCCCATTAGTTCCAGATGTAATATCTAGAGGGCATGAGCCTTTTCCATGTAAATTTTTGGTGACATTGTCAGAAATGTGTAAATTAAATTACATGTTTATTACTGAGATCATAGTTAAAGGTGCCAATGTACTGGATTACATTACAATGAGAGGTGTTTCTAATGTTTCGTCTTCCCCATTTACATACAGGAGGGGGGTGAGAATCTTAGAAACACATCTCAATAAAATGCAGTCTAACACAAACCATCAAAACTGTTTTAATGAAAGCCTCATCTCTGCAAAACATCAGAAAGAAGAAAAATCTAATGAAAATATAGTAATTTGATTGGTTTTCATAAATCAAGTACTGCTCATTTTTTCTTAGTAGTGTTGCAGAGTTACAACAGGACCTGGAGTTACAAGGTTTTCACACAGTCACTGTGTGTAGCAAATGAGTGCACCAGTAACAACTGGTTTGCAAAGACCTCAATTTCCTACAAAATCTGAGAGTGCCATCTAGCTTTGTGAGGACAGAATAGCAACATTTTAGCAGCTGTGTCCATGTCACATAGTACAGTATACACTACTGCTAAGCACGTTCTGATTATTTAGTGTGTTTACGCCATAGACTGAATAAAAGAGTAATTAAGTTAATTCTGCTGTTGATGTATACTGTTCTGCTCATTGCAGACATTTGCACAGGTGTGATTATTAACCTTAATGATGGCTCCATCTCATGTATCTCAGCTCCAGGGCCTTGCTACTGTGCACGCTGGCTCGCTGTCAGAACTTACTGGGGCACTTGAACAGAACAGTAATTAATGTTATTAGTTACACCTGTGCTTTTCCCGGTCATGACAAAAAGGCCCATTGTCCCACAATGCAAAGCACCAAGCAAACAGAGAAGCTACTCACAGCTTGAGTCAATTGCAGATGTGATGACACAGCTTCTGAAAAGGTCTTCATTAAGTCTGTGCAAAAACTCTTTGCTTCTTAGTAAAAAAGTAAATCAAACTGATTTTATTCATATTTAGTATGTACTATATACTGATAATCTGCAGTTAGGAACTGGAACATAGCATTTGAATTAACAAATGGCAGAATGAACTATTTCATTTGGCTGAAAATTAGCAACATAATAAATGAGAATGAGCAATTATAATTCATCATCAATATTTCTTAATTTCAGTCAATGAACGCCTGTGTCCATCTTTATAAAGGCTGAACAGGCTATTAACAGTCAGTACAGCAATGGAAATATATTCAGGACTTTATTGTTTTATCCCTGACAAAATCTGATATGTTGTATTTTATAAATAAATTAGAATGATGTCAACGAATCAAAACAAAACAAAAGCTTATGCTATTATCAGTAAATTGTGTTCTGCATGGTAGAGCTATATGATAAGCCAATGTTTTCAGGACATCTGACATCCAGTTATTCAGTACCTCAGTTATTTATATTGATGTTTTGATGTGTTCATTTGTTTGAATGAGCAAAAAAAAATGCTTACCCTATGGTCATACAGCTGATTATGGTACCCAAAAAAGCAAAGGTCAGAACGGATCCAAGATTCTTAATGAATCGTTTCTGGGACAGAAATTAAAATGAACACCAATTAGTAAGACCAAACAAATAAACAAACAGGTCAACAATATGCAACACATTTACTTAAATTTCAGCAGCACACACAATAACACAGTGTTTAGTTTTTTGGGTTTTTTTGTTTTTTAATCTGATGGAGCACAGTCCTTTGATGATGTCTTTTCCTCCCAACTTGGAGGCATGTCAGACAGCAGTCTCACCTGATTAAGGGTGTAAGCTCCATGGAAGATGATGGGTGGCAGGAACAGATTGAAAAGGACCTCGGGATCAAGAGTCTCCTGTAAAAGACAGAGCTGTTGTGTTGGTGACTGACAGGGCTCCGTGGGGAGTGAGAGGACTCCGTTTACTGAATGTGACTGACTGACAGACAGATACTACACACACATCTTTTGCTTCAGCAGCTTTGTTTTGGCAGACATGTCTTTTTTCTCTTTGAATCCCAATGTCTCCAGGTACCTCAATTGTATCTGTCTTCTGTGTATGTATAAAATATTGCTTTTTAATATGAAAAATGAGAAAGGGTGACACTTTTTGATTATTCCCACCTTTGAACGTTGGAGTTGTGAGCATTATAGGTACTAGCCAACTGACATTTATCAATGCGCAGAGTTAACTTCCAAAAAGTAGGCTCCCACGTAAATAGTATATTTACTGTGTACTGCACTAGTATTCTGTCAATGTGCCCTGACTTCCACAACTGATTAAAGTTGAGCACAATACAAAGTGAGAAGTCTAACTGCTTGTGTCAGACTTCACCATGGAGGCCCCCCTGCATTCATTAGAATGGGAATAAGCATGTACCATTAGCATCGCCACACGTGTTCAGGCAACAGATGAATTAACATTAAACAAAATCCAAGCTGCTAATCATCACCACCTGCATTATCTTCAACACAAACAGTAACCAGAGTTTTCACATACCGCGCACGTTCTCTGTCTGTTTCTCATCCTAGCCAGTGTGATGAAATACACACTGCTTAGAAAGGTAGCCTTTCATGTCCTTCATCCCTGAATCTTTTTTATGTGTATTGTGGGTACATTCTAAGGATCAAACGGCAGTGATATTCAATTCAGATCAAAATAATTCTACTTTTTCCTCTTATTCCTACATCCCCCAAGGTCTCATTACATTGCTAAAAAATTTAATTCCAATTCAATTAAACTTCAGTCCAAAACGCAAGACGTGATGATGATGCTTGCTGAAATAGGGCTGCGGCCACAGACCTTTGAGAATGGCCTAGATTTTGCTTTAAAAAAAACAAACAAAGGTTGAAGCAGCCTGACTAGCACTGAATATATGGACGGATGAAAATAGGCCTTCCTCTGTAAATGTCCTATTTCAAGGACACATTGCATTTTGGTGAACATTTATACTTGTTTGTGTGGATTTGTGTAAGATTGCATTTTTTTAATTATCATTTCCAATGCTGGAAAGCCCCCTATAGAGTTTGGAGGGCCACCATGCTTTCTCGGTAATTCATACTTGAAATGGCTGCTAGAGCTACAAATTGCTCCTATCTTTCTGCAGCTATCACCCGGCTCAATATAAATTACTTTTTGCGGATGCAATTACCCACGCAGCACAAAGTACTGTATATGTATTTTTTCATCTGAGCAGGCTTTGCATGACAAATACAAAACTGCACAACAGAGACTATTACATACTCTGTAATCAATGAATTATGCATATGTTGGGGGTTTTATTCTAAGGGGCAACTGCGCCACAGTGTGGAGGATGGAGGTGTATTGCATACACTAATTGCCTCTTCAGCTGAGCAGCACTAAATTTAAATCAGACCACAAAGTTTAATGCCTTACTCCCCAGTGTAACATAATGGAGAAAGTAATGCAATGAAATCCTTATCTCTCCCTGCTAGGTCCCCATATGTATCAGGCCTAATGGTGTGAAGGCTACACAGAATGGTCTGACCGATGTAATGGCCTTTGTGGTAGCCTCTGCTGGTTTGCTAATGAGACCCCAGCAGTCAAAGGGGGCAAAGAGTCCAAGCCATTAGTGAAGAGTTACACTTGGCCTGGATGATTTACAAGGTTCATGGTTCGCTTACTCCCTTTGTCGCGGGCTGAAATATCACCCTGAGATTAAGAAATACATTTCCAAATATGCTCATACCACATCATCTCATGCTTGTTGGCCATCGTGAGGCTGAATCCCTGGCTCATTGGTTGGTTCCTTTGATATGACAAATCTCTCTCATAGCAATATGAAAGCAACCCAGAAAGCAGTAATAATACTAATGAGACACTACCAGAGGCCCATCTCGTGGCTTAGGCTCTTATACTTAGCAGTGATATTAGAGTCGCTGACAATTTTTTAAATAAATAATTATAATATTGCTGTGAGTAGTTTGCAGCTCTTAATGTCCAGTTCTAATATTATTTCTGTTGTGCCTCAGGGACATAAAACATTACAAATATACTTTGATAAACTGTTTAAGAATCCTTGTATGTAGAATTCAACTGAGACCTTCAAAAAAATGATTATTTTATTAAGTGATAATAACTATCTAAAATCGTTTGCTGAGAATGCATTTCTGACTGGATGTTTATTATATTACAAATATAGTATATGTATATTAGAAAAGGTTATCAGTGCAATCTTCACATCAACATACCGTAACATAAATTAGCAAAAAGGTTCAATTCAATGCTAAAGAAAAAACATGATATTTGATATCTCTTAATAGAAAAAAGAAAAGGAAAAAAAAAGACCAAACCTCTGTTTGAGTTAGCGGGGTCCACAAAAGCGAGAGATAAGTGCTAATTCAACTCCATCAGCATCAAATCATTAGCAGCAGTGCACCTCTACTACACTAACAAAACCTCATTGATATACAGTACGCACAGCATTTTGTGGTCTGTAATACTGTTTCATAGTTCCCTCCACTTCATAGCAGGTGGTAGATATTTTCATCCATTACTGCGTTCTGTGTCACAGAGAGGAAATACATTGGGTTTTCTGATTGTATTCACGCAGTGTATGTTTGCAGTTTTTGGCAGGAACATTTGTTGTTGTTTTTTTGTTGACTGATCAGACCCACTGTATTTCTTTATCTACTCTACTAGGTTTCTGGTTTCTGTGTTTAGCTGTCTTCCAATTTCCCCTTGTCTGCACAGCACATCTGAAAATGTAATGTCCCCTATCTGCCCCTTAATAGATCCTTAATATAGGTTAAATTGCTCTCTTGCACTCCTTCACTTTGTACCACAACTCTCCTGCTTCCCTAATAACAAACAGACCCTGCAAGTAATTCAGAGAAAACCAATAACAAAGCACTATTAGAGGAGCCTGTTGATGTAAATATCCAGCATTCGCAGGGGGAAAAAATATAGATGTGATTAAAGGAAAGGCACTGCAGACAAATATGTTATTTTAGACAAAATAAAACTACACCGGAGGAAAAGAAAACATCCAGTATGGTGCCGTTTGTTTTCACATGTTAAAGCAAATGTTTTATTTGGACAGATTGTATCACTTTTCACTAGGGCCTATGTTGTGTCACATCCTGGAGCCCCTATCCACATTAAAGATTCCCTTTTGTAATGTGTTTGAAGTACAGATTAAGTTAAATTGCTTAAATAGTTACCATATGAGGTGGTGAGGCTGGTCGGCATCGCTGGTTGCCTTTCCCAACATGTCTAAAACAGTGAAAGTGTGAAGTGACGTTGACCATCAAGAGGTGAGCGGTGCTGTTATGACCACCACAACTGCACACAGCCTCCATGTTATCCATATGATCTCCCCAATCAAATGAGAAGCATCTCACCATTAACCCCACCAGCATACCTGCAGAAGAGCACAAAAAGAAAAGAAAAGGCTACTGTTATTAAACCCGTGCCAATCCTCTAAAGTCTTCCATTTAGGAAGAAATATTCCAGAAGTAAATAAATCATTACACAGCTACTACAATGCACACCAACTACATTACTTATTATCACAGTCCTATACAAGATTAAAAAACAAATAACCCACAATAAGGACACACATGTACCACATAAAGGAAAATATTTTATGTTGGTGTAGTGATGAAACACTGTTGAAACTGCAAACTTCTAAATATTGCATGAATCAAATATAGTGCCGGTTGGTGAGCCCTTAATATTTTATGGAATCTGGAGCTACCTGGCAATTTATGTACGAATTTGTTGTATAGCCAAATTAAAAGGCTGAGTCCAATGTCATTTATCACCACAAAGCCAAACAACCACCCACACATATACAAGTCAAACATATAGGCTACCATACTTTAAAAATGATATTTATATTATATATATCGATTTGTTTTACCCTAGCTATTAACAATGATCTGAGCTAACTTACATCCGGTTGATAGTTGTTGTCTTGTTAATTCTGCACTGCCTACATAAAGATAAATCAGTTGTAAGTCTGCTCTGTCAATGAAAATGGTGAGTAAAGCTAATTTAGATGCTGTGGCCCTCCACTAAATTCCTACTAGGCCTAAAATTCGACAAATTGTGACCAACATTGATTTTATTTCATTAAAAATTTGATTTCTTATTTCATGCAAGTTCAGGAAGTGATACTGAAAAACGGCTTCCGTACTCTATACTCTAAATAGGGCATCAGCTAAGGCTACTTACCATAAAACACTGCACCTCCAGTTTCATTTATAAGTCTATATTTAAACTTTTTTAACTTCCACACACTGAGAATGGTTGTAAGTGCCAAGCCATTTGCAGCGAGTACCAATAATACTGCACTGTCTTGTCGGTGCTTCATGGTGCCTGTCATCCTCAAAGCACTGGGTCAAACTTTTCGGAAACAACTGCTGAACTTGTGATTCAATTCAGCAGCAGCAACATCCGCATCAGCAGCAGTCGAGAGCACGTGCTACCTTTAATGTCACACGTAAATCCCTGCTTCCTCTCAAACAAGGAGAGGAAAAGCCCTGCAGGTTTTGCGCCATTTTTTCGAAAACTACTAAATTGATTATTGTCTTAAAGATATTTGGTGAAGATACTTTTATTTTATGAATCAAGAGATACGAAGTTGTTTTTGCTACAGTGCTAATGTGTATTAGTAAAAGTAAAATGCAAGAGCAGTGAAACATGCGTAGAATAACAACTGGACAAGGTATAATCACCATAGTCTTGGAAAGCCAAATTAGCTAAAATAGCTTGTTAGACGTGTAAAAAAGATAGAGCACATTTACCGACTGTCACGCCTCATGACGTTATGTCTTTGCGATGATTTTAAACAAGTTTGGTATTTCCCAAGTTACTTGGACGCAGCGCTCATTGGGTGTCAGCCTGTTATCTTCCAGCAGAGGGCGGTAAATACAAACGAATGCACGCGGAGCTCCGAGGAGCCCACCGTGAGAGGGCGGGACATTGAATCTCCACTCACTCACTGTCCCTTAGCTCTAAGTGAATCAGTCATGGGCCTTTATTAGTAGTTAATTATTTAATTAATTGGTCGTAATGGCGTATTTCATCTTTCATTTTCTTCTATTGTAATACAATAATAACAATAAATTCCTTGTGTTAATTAACTTTTTTTTTTTTCAAATGCCAATTAGTGTCAATCAGTTTTGCCCCTGGGCAGCAACATTAAACACTGAACTTAACACCCGTTGATGCTATTACACATGCTGGTGATGATGGTGAAAGTCTAGCGTTCAACTGATTGTACTGTCTGATAAAGAAAACAAGAGGTTGTTGTTGTTTCTTTTCATGTAGCCGCTTTAGGCTCACATTTTCAGCATGTTTTCATTAAGTTGCACCGCACTGTAATCTAAGATAAAGTTTAATTTTAGACTGTGTTGCTCTTTTCCATAAGAGATTGCCTTTTAGGCTGATGGAGGCGCAGAGAAATAAATAGAAATTTGGGCAAACTTTGCTCTCGGGGGCGGCGTTTCAGGCCAGACGCGACAATATTAGAATCATCGCTTAGCAACCTCGGCCGTAAACCGACAGCGGGTGTCGTAAAAGGTAAAGAGGCTGGTGTTGAAAAGAGTCGAAACAGATCCCATTGTGGTGTTGGAGAGGAGTGAATCGCTGCCTGAGAGAAGAGGAGAAGAGGCGATTTCGTGACCATAAAGAGACTCGTGATAAGCGGACAGACGTGGACGTGAATGCACAACACAGACGCTGTTGCCCTGTGTGAAGAGGACCGCGTCGTCCAGCCGGATAGAGCCGGTATATGAAGAGTTAAGACTCGACATCCCAACTGTTTATTTCGGCAGCTAGCAGGCTAGCTGGCTAAGATACCTATGTGCTAGAAATGGGAAGCCCGTGTGAGTTCGCATGATAGAGATCTTCGTCGAGCTTGGAAAAAGCTGTTTTGGGTTTAGATTTCGTCGGCGGTGATTTAAAGTATCCGTCGCCCGCCTAGTAAGTCGCCGCAACTTTGAAGAATGATGTCAACTGAGCGCTAAGCATTTCCCTACTACAGACCCGGAGAGGGAAAAGTCATACAGGTTTGTTTCACAGGTTTTTCCTTCTCCGCTCGTTGCAGTGCGTGTTGCACTAAGCCTTTAATAATGTGAATAGGCACAATGAATTGAATGAGTCGCTTGAACTTATTTATTGTAGCCTCGACTTGAAAGGGTGAGTAAAGCTGTTTTCTGTCTGTAACGTTATTAACATATAAGAGCATGCTTGACACTTAAAGCTCCACTGTTGCTACCACAAAAATAATTAAACGATTAGATAAAATACCAAACGACAGAGTTTTCTAGAAACAAACCCTCTTATCAGGTTCCCACATCCGCTGAACGATGACAAAAGTTTGTTATTACTGTTAATAGAGCTGCTTCTGCTGTTATTTTTGTTATAATAGAAATGTATTTGCCATCTCAAAAATGACCGTCTTTCTTTAGGTAGTAATTAGTCGTGTCCATCGCAGGTACCTAAACACTACTTAATTTTGACTACAAAACATAATTCACAAAGCTGCAATGGAGTGTCATCATGCAGAGCTGCTGTGCAGCCAGACAGATATATGATAGTCCCTTAAACCTCTAAACATATATTCCTTTTGTTTGGATGCAAAACCTGTTAACTTATTGCAACATCATTGTTGTTAAGAAGGTATTGGTTTGCTTGAGGCACCATTAATATTTTTAGATTTGGTCATTGAAAGCATTTTCACACGTTTTGCAGTGCTTCCCAATTTTTTGGCACTGTAGGTTTTGACTACTCAAAAACAGCGTACCTCAACAGGTTTCCACTTGATTGCCAACTTGATTTGGATTGATTTGCTATGGATTTGTCTTCCTTGCTGGCGTGAGCAAGCAGCAGGTTGAGCAATTTGCCCCATCATACAGAAAGGCTCAGGCGATTAAAATGAAAGCGTAATTTGCAATAATGGCTAAATTGACTTGACCATGAGATTACTGCGATTGTACGCTCTTTGCAAACCTCTGCCCTTGATTTCTTAAAGGGAAAAATAGATTACCACAACAGTTGTACTGATTGGTCCAGGAAAGGCTTATAATAAGTCCCAAGGAATTTCTCCTTACAGTGTAATGAATAGAATAGGCTGCTTAGAATAAAGTTTTCCATATCAGGAGTGTAATTGTGGAGCCTTTCTGCAAGGTTAGTTGACAAGGGAACTATGAAAATAGACCAAGACACTTTAGACGTTTTGCTGGTGGTTGATTTCAATGTTTCTCAGCACTCAGCAAGAGAACGTCTTGTAATTGTAGCGTAAAAGCTCCCATAGGAGCGCTATATTTTGAGTTTTTGATGTCCAAACTCACCAAAGCATACTCCAATAAAGCAACAGATTGCGCTACATTAGGAACAACCTGAAATGAAATAATAAATGTCTGGCAGGTAATCAATTTTATCCCCTCCCACTCCAAACACATTTCCCATTTGTTTCAAACTGAAGTTTGTTTTGATGGCTTGTTTTATTCAATCAGCTCATGGTGTAGCTTCACTTAGATTAGACTTAGATTTGTTTTTGCAATAGTATTAACACGAGATTTAAATGTCTGACAACTTGTCAAACTTCTACGGAGCGATGTCGGCTTGTGGAATTGCGCAGCTGTTTAAATTTAAACAAAACATGTTATCAGCTGAAGAATCCAGAGCAAGACTTCCCAGCTCAAGTGTGTCCTTCCTAACAGCTGCGGCAGTTTGGCGCCACGCAGATAACATTGATATTCTCATTAAAACCTCTAGCGTTTGGTCCGGGCCAGAGATGAATGGACTAATGTTAGCGTGGGGAAGCTGCTAATTAGTGCTTACATTCTGAGGACTCAATTTTCCATTAGGCGTGCGAATGTTACTGTCATTTGTATCTATCCATCACTGTCTATGTGTTTGCTGTACTGAGGCAATCCAACTGTGGCTGAATGTTTTTGTGATCAAACATTATTGACTCCCTCAGTCGATAACCTTGGCAACAGTAGTTCCTCTCTCCAGCTAGAGCCGCACATTGCAATGGAGGAGGGGGCGGGGGTCAGAGGAGGCTTTTTCCGAGCTTTGAGTAGGGCTTGGTGGTAATGCCGGCGGCCTCTGGGGGTAGACGCGCTCATGTGTGTGCGTTTTGTGCACATCTATTCAGAGATGGAGAAGTGCTGCTCTGTATTCAAGTGATCTCTTTCCGTTCAGTTTCATCACAAGAGCAATAACTCAAAGTTTCTCTCACCTTGCTGTCCACCAGCTCGGGTCATATCTTTCCTCTCTCTATTTTTCCAACTCCTCCACTGTGTTCCTGTCCCTTTCACCACTTCCTCTTTGCACTCTCTCTTTTGCATTTCCAGTGAAATTAATCAAGCATGTTCATGTGTGGCTTGACTTCATTATATCATAATGAAGTTTAGCCTCAGGTGCACTGAAGGAAATGGGTTAGCCAGACAGTAGCCCTGCCCTCGTACACCATTATCTGAAAAGCCAGTTTTATACAATGACTGTGAAGATTATTCAAGAAGGAAATTTCCTTTTCAACCCCCTTCTTTCTTATCTGGGTTATTCTGTCAAAATCTAAGTTTAATAAAAGTTGAAATATTAGGATATTACGATGTCATCTGCCTCTGCCTCGACCTTTGCCATTCTGTTTTAAGCCAACATGGGGCCGATTGCTTCATCTTGCGCCTTTTCTGTCCCAGTAATGAGCCATTTTGCGGCTCTTAACATCTGCCAAACTTGGAACATTTTGAATGCGAGACTCATCTCCCATGCATGAGGAGTCAGGCATCCTTTGATTTGCCCTCTTTTCTTTGCTTCTCTTTCGAAGCGCTCACCGCAATACTTTGTAGACTTGAGTACGCTGAAAAACTTTCTTACCCCAGTTTTGGCAGCGGCTGTGTATGATGAAAGGTAATTTGGTGCTTATTCTAAACATCATTATCCTCTTGGTATTGTGCATCCCTCCTCCTTGTAGAGTGCAGAAGGAGCAGAGGAACTGTGGGGGGGGCACGGAGATAGAGGAGGGGGGCCTAATTTAAAACACGAGTCTTCTGTGGGCACAGTGAAGTTTGTCCAAAAGAAAACACTGCTTTAAATTTGACCCTCTATTCCAGTGGGTAACATCTGTGTTAGAATATAAAGCATCTGGCTGTAATTTAGAGCTTTAAGTGAACTTTCCCCTTGTCAAAAACCTGAGTAGGCAACCTTGCCATAGAACTCTATGTCCTGTTAAATAACTCTCAGCCATGGGGTGGCAATTCAGGAATCGCGTGAGTTAAATAAAAGGTTTTGCTGGTGTACATTTCACAAGAAACACTCTAGGGGGGTAATTACCAGGGGAAAATATCCCCGTCCTAAATGACCATGTCATCCTTCCAGTAAAGCTGAGTGTTTTGGTCTCATTTGCACTATTACCCTGTGCGTAGCGGCGGCAGGCTATAAAAACTCTAATCTAGTAGCATTTCAATTGTTATACTCTTTTGCTTCATGCTAAACAGAAGTACAGGATCAAAGACCAACCATCGGTGGTAGGTTTGTGCATTTCATTGTCATACCCTGACTGTCTCCCACATTAACAGAACGAAAACACAGTGTGTATTTTATCCTTTCCCTCCAGCAATTAGCAACCGTCACTGACATAATCCAGGTAACGCAGCATAGGTAATTGAGGCCTAACTCTTTCTCTGGAGAGGACGAAGAAGCTATCTATCCTCTCCCGTGTCAGTCGCCAGCTCATGCATCTCATTACTCGGCAGTGTCTAGGTCTTGCATCGGGGCTTGTTCCAGCTCGCCCTGCCTCTTTTGTGGCCTTCCCTAGGGGATGATGAGGTGATCTTCTTCTCGACCTGGTTGAGGATGCCTTTCGTCCTCTTCAAGCCCTTTGCTGATCCCAGTTCAATCTCGTATCTGCTCCCAAGATCTTGCAGCCGTGCCGTGACTGCCAGTGTCAAATGCTAAATGGAACTTGAATTGGAAATCTTGTAGCCCCTGGATGTTCCGTTTTCCTGTCAAGCAAGCCGCGCCCTCTCGCTCTCTGTAGCACAAGGCACACATCCATTTTCACTCCTGTTTGAAATTGTTTATATTAGTCATACAGACTTTGTTTCTTTATTTCCCATCTCCCAATCTGTCTTCCTTTCCCAATTTAATTCAGATATCTTGTAGAATTTGAATACATTTTTTTTCCCCCCAGACCCTATTAAATGATTGTGTTGGTGTTCTGTTTAGCTCTTTCTGAATGGGTGCAGCTGAGATCTTATTTGGTTATAGTCCATTAATCACACTGTGATTGTGGAAGTCGGCTCAATGTGGACCTACAGTTTCTTTATTTTCCTCGCCCAATGAAAAGCATTTTTTGACTGTTGCCTGACGACAAATGTTTTTTTGTACAGTTTTGCTTCTGACATTTCACAGGTTAATGTGGGCATGAAGTGTTATATTCAGAAAGGGTGCTCTAAATTATTTATTCATAAAGTCTGAAATTACCATTATCATTATGCTTCATAATGATAGAATGAATAAATAAATATGTGTCGTCCCATGTCTTGGGAAATTGTGACAATGCCATTAAGATTTACAGGAGCTCTTTTGTTTAATACAGAGTTCAATTGATTTACCATTGCTTCTGTTTCTTAGATGTTAAGTAAGGCTGTCACTCTCACTTTCCCTGTCTTATTTATGGTACACTGCTCACTGAGTCACATTTAGATTTGCGGTGCGAATAGGGGGGAAAAAGCATGAATCATATTTCCCTTTTCCTTTAAAAAATATGTAGTTCAGCTGTCTGTAGTCCCCCCCCCATTAGGATATGGTCTATTTTTACATTAGTGATGTTGGCCTGATCTGCTCGAGGTATTTTCAGACAGAGGTGTGTGTGTGTGTGTGTGTGTGTGTGTGTGTGTGGTAAGAAGTAGTGTATTCAGCTTCTTATCTGACACTCCACAGCCGCACATCTCTCACAACCGCTGCTCTCTTGGCTGCCTCTAGCCCCCGCGTCTTTCCAGATCTCGGCCACTTCGATCTGAAGGCAAAATGCTAGGAACCCATCGACACGCACGCTAATCACACTAGTGAGCCTGCTCGTTAGCCATGCCCTCTCAAGTCAGCTGTGCTAATAAGCATGTCCTAATGAGCTCTAATTGAGGATAGCTAATTTGCATGGCCAGAGTCATTGTCTTTCTTAAAGCGACTTATAAGACTTACAAGACTCACTGCGAAAAGGCTGATTGGAGGTGTGTTACATGGGCGGACTATGGGGGAATTGGGAGCTCTAACCATTCCCTTCTCTGCCGGCATCGATATGCCTAATGGAGGTATTCACAGATTCTTTTTTCCCCCCCTCAACCACGGACGTTATTTTAGCGACACCAGCCATTTTCAAAGAAACAACTTCAAAGCATGATTAAAACGAAACAGGGCAACTCTGATCAAAGGTTAAACTACGCACAGCGTGACTCTCTTCACAATGCACAGTGAGATTCCTCCATGTGAAGCGAGATGGGGGGGGAAATCAAGAATTCTCTGCTCAGTGTATCTGTTGAGGTATGCAGACAGCGTGTTATTTTGCTGTGCATCAGAGGAAAAGTGATGGATACTTCTGTAGCTACAGAGGGAGGGCCTCTGAGGAATCATCCTCAGAGTGCAACTTATTTTATTTATACTAGGAAAGGATGTTGTACATTTCCTCTTAATTTGATCACTGACACTTTATTTTCCCCTTTTCTATACTTTTATTTATCTATCTTATATTGGGGAGAGTATACACAAAATTATTTCCCAAAGAGAAAGCGCTCAAACAGGCACAGGCAGGTTTATTGCATTGGCTGTGGGCCATCTCATTTCTGCTCAAAAAGTAATGAAATCTCGCAAATGACCCAAGCAATTCAAATTTGTGAGACAATTTCATATGGCAGAGACAGTGCTTCTTTGTTTTATAGGAGGGTATCGTTTGTTAGAACTTTTGGTGTTCAAGTTGCAAGCTAAGCAGAAGGAAAAAAATAAATAACTCCTTTTCACTTGTCTACGAGAAAAGTGGCAATTTTGCTGTTATGCAATGTAGCCTTTTTGTATTTGCCCTGATGTAATGAGTTCCTCCCTCTCTTTCTTTGCTTGATTTCAGGCCTGCTGGCACGAGGTTGCACACAAACACCAAGAAGAAGAACATGACTCACAGGCCTCAGCCAGAGGCTGGCACGGGGCAGATGTGCCAACCCCACCCCATCGCGCCCCTTTAGAATCTACCCCGGTACACCATGAGGCATTGAGGTTGGCTCCCTGACGATCATCTCAATACCTCTCCTCTTCCCTATCCCTCAAGAACCCCCCCTCCCCCTCCCTGCATTGTCCCCATCATGCTGCGCTTCCTGCCTCTCAAACTTGGCCGCCTGTACCGCTGTCTGAAGCTCTTACTGGTGGTGGGATTGTTTGTCATCTTGTTGATGAACACCCACAACCTGTTCGCCTCCTTCCAGAAGAATGAGCTCACTGACAGACGCTTCATCAACCTCAACAAGTGTCCCGCCTGTTTTGGCACCAGCTGGTGCCGCAAATTCATGAACGGCCAGGTGTCCTTTGAGACCTGGGGTCGCCTGCGATTCCTAGACGTTTTCAATGTCAAGAATGTTTACTTTGCTCAGTACGGCGAGCCCAGGGAGGGCACCCGCCGTGTGGTGCTCAAGCGGCTCGGCTCCAACCAGGAGCTGGCTGAGATAGACCAGAAAATCTGCAAGAGGGCCACAGGCAGGCCGCGCTGTGACCTCATCCAGGCAATGTACAAGACGGAATTTTCCCGGATCAATGGCGATGTTCGCCTGCTCACTCCAGAGGTGGTGGAGGGCTGGTCAGATCTTGTGCACTGCCCCTCTCAAAGGTTGCTGGACCGTGTGGTCCGCAGGTATGCTGAGACCAAAGACTCGGGCAGCTTCCTGCTAAAGAACCTTAAGGACACGGAGAGAATGCAGCTGCTCATGACCTTGGCATTCAACCCGGAACCACTCGTACTACAGGTACCGTCTGTTTCTCAACACCGTGTGTTTAAATGACAGGAGCTGTTTAAAGTGTGATACTTTTGAGCGAGTGATGTTCTTTATTTTTGTTGTGGAGTGTTGTTTGACTTTTGCAGTCTTTTGAAGAAAATGTTGCATCTTGATAAAGAGGTGTCTGTCAGCTGATGTGTGGCACCAGGTGTTTTCACAGGAGTTGATAAGCCACGGTTCCTGGATTACCTTTGCTGCAAAGAAGATAAGAGCATCGGTACATAGCAAGCCAGGGTGTTGGCCCGCAAAGCCTCCAGTAAATTACAGGGTGGGAATCCTCCTTTTCCTTCCTCTTCCATAGATCTTAGACAAGCCATTACACCCTCCCTAAACTCTAGGCTGCTTGGCCACTATCTGGAGCACGAATGTTCCTCTGCTTAGAATAGAGAAGGATTTAAGAGCTGTGGCCTCCCAAAAGATGAGAGATTTTGGCTGACGGCAATACTGCATATTTAACACTATATATGTAGGGCAGTTTTGAATTATTCAAGGATGCATCTGTAAACGGTCCACATTGTTTTTTATTTTAATATACGTCCACTGGAATGTCCACTGTATTCTCGTCATTTGTGACAGCATGTGGAGGGAGCTCTCTGACGGGGCTGCTAAGTGGTATCAGCATAAATATTCTTGATCCTTCACCAATCTTACAAAATAAGAGCTGTCTGTATTTCTGCTTTACAGTACAAAAAAACCCTAATAGGTAATTGAAATGACCAACTTTAAAGGGGCTGACAAGAACTGTTGTAAAGAACATCTTGCGCTTTTTGAGGCTTCTGATGTTTAGTTTTGATGAGACTGACAGAATGAACACTTTCATTTTTAATAAAGTTGAAATAAAATTAGAAATCTTGAATTTGACAGAGTAAATTTATCAAATGACAAATGCTGCTAAAATCAAAATGCAACTTTTTGTCTTGTTTTGACATCAGGTTAGGAGTAAAATCAAAACCACTTTCTATCCTGTCTCCCTGCAAGGCGAGGCAGCCATACTGTATATCATATAAGCACTATCCACATTTCCATCACTGATTTTTTTCAAGTAGCCAATCAATTTCGATCTGGCATTGGCCGCGTCTCACAAGGGGACACAACAACATTGTTCATGGCCTGTGTAGACATTCAATAACTGACCTCCAACCCCCCCTGCTACACATAGAAGCTCACACCTCCAGGCATTTCAGGGGACAAAAGGCGAGATCAGCCTTTTAGGCCGTCAATCTATAAAATCTGATTAGCCGTGTGTGGTCGCTTGACCTCCTCCCCCCTTTCCTCCCTTTCTCCTCGTTTCTTTCTTATTAAGTCTTTCTTCTTTCTATCTGTGTCATCCTCCTCTGTATTTTCCTGCGCGCTTGTGTACGCTTCACAAACTCTGGCCAAATAATTCCATCAGTGTTTTTTTTAATGCCATTATGCCCCAGTTCAGAGGCTCTGTGAATCACCCCCTCTCATCCTTTACCTTGCGCACACACAGATACAGACATCACACACACCAGCACATCGTGCATTGTCCGCAGCTCTCTTCCCTCCCTGCTCCATGTAGCCTTCGCATGTTTACAGGCACTCATGAATTGTTGATCTCATCTTGAACTTGTGACCTGTGCGCATGAGAGAGAATGCTGTGCATGCACCATAGATAGGGTTATTCGTCTGGATATCAGATGAAGAAATGCGGCAGACGTCTAGGAGAGATGCCTTGACTTTTCATCAGCATCACTGAACTCAATAGATGAGGAGAAAATTTGCTGAGAGACTGAGAGACCCTATACACAAGGCTGGGCAGCAGTAGACCATAAAGAAGTAATGGCGTCTGTAGAGAGTGAACAGGAGACGTGCTGTACTACAGCACCTTGGTCTCCTTTTATGCCAGAGGTTAGTGCCACTACGTTGGGACTGGTTTAAACAAAAGGTAGAGGAATGTGGGCTCAGGTTTATGGCCAGTTATTTAATGAAATCTGATCCTTATTTCAACCATTTATCACTCTGCCTTCTTATCCGGCCTGGAGCGATGCTGCCTTTCGCCTGGCTGTAGTCAAACACCTCTTCAGTAAGTTAAAGATGCTGTTGTCAGTCAGTGTATAATTTAGCTTTGCTATATTTAGTGTAAATGATTTCCTGCTGTCATTGGTTGCCAGTGATGTGGTTTTGGGCTTTTCTCTATCTCTTTTCTCTGGCTTCATACAGTTAAATAACTGCAATAACATTTCTGCCGTCTGTTCAGTGAGCTGCACTCTCGCTCTCTTAGAATGGCTTCTGTTTCCAGTCTTTTGAAGCCACAGGCAGTAAATCGGCCCTGTTGCACTATGAGAAACCAGACCTTCTCTGTCAGTGGGAAACAATCTGCTGTGTTGTTTTGGGTCTGGCCAACAATGCGTTTTCTGTGTACGCTGCAGTACACACACACACACCACCCCCACTCCTCTGTCACGTGGAAGACCATTTGTCTTTGGGGAATAAATATTTTTGGAAGACAAAATGACGACAGCCGAACAAGAAAATCCTTGTGCAATGAGAGGCACCTTATGCAACTTCATCTGTTTTCTGTCTTGTTTCCTCTTAACCAACGCTGTTTTTCTTAAGGTTTCACAGATAAGTTGGGCTGGAGAGGTTTCTCTGTTGCTGTGATAAATTACATGTGTCAAAGGGGTGTCTCTTTGCCAACCAGAGAAATTCCATGATGCTTTTTAATTTGACCTCTTATTACATAATAATATAACATGGTTTGCATGAAAAGTGCATACGGTTCGCTCAAACCATATGTGTCGTCCTCTCCCTCTCCCTCCTTGGCCCCCTCCATAGATGACTCATTGATTCATTAGGTGATGGTTGTGTTTGATGGAGTACATCTGGCCCAACCTTTTAAATTGGTTCGATTTAGCCTACTCCTCCTTTCCAAATGATTAAGCTTGGTGAACTAGCCAGAAGCATGTGACTGCGCTTGCACCCTTTTTGGTCCACAGCTCTGTCTTGCTCAGTGAAGCTGAGAATAGGATGTGACAGGCCTGTAGGGTTAACTTAGCCATCTCCTCTGGTCTCAAATCTGTCTCTCTCCCAGACGGCCCTCTCCGTCTTTTCTTTGACTGTCTTTCCCCACCTTCCACACATCTACCTCCTCCCTCGTTCAACACCCCGCCCTCACCTGACACAAGAGATGTTCTCGTCAGAAGGCATGAACCTCTCGCGCAACGCTGTCTTGTCTTTTTCCCAGAACACAGACGTCTCACGCTGATGTTAAATCGGAGAAGAGGCAGGAGAGAGAGAGAGAGAGAGAGAGAGAGATTAGATGATTGACCTTATCTCCTATTCCCCCCAAGATTTTTGACAGCCACGTTTTAACGCAAATGTGAAAGTAAACATTCACAACGGTTTGAGCAAACACACTAGCAGCTTGTTTGAATTTCTTTAAATGGGGGTGGGAGGATAGCCTCTTTTTAATGAGGCTCTGCATAATCTATTACGATGCTCATCCACTTTGGGGAAACTAAGCCAAAGTAAATAGAATAAATTCAGGGTTTTCCTGGTGCAAAGTGAGGTAAAGGCAGTACCTGAACTGTGACCCACTGCACTTTGATTTATTTGTAATAGGAAAATACATTTAACTGCATGAGGTCATAAGCAGATGTTTCAGCCTGCCTATAACAGCTATCAGTCAGAAGATCTTATAACTAATAATTGAAAAAATACAGTGATTTAATAAGTTTTAAATTAAATAATGACTAGTCAAACAGTAATTATTACAATGTTTTTTTTACAGTAAAATGCAATGAAACAGCCCTGGAATAAATCTTATTTTTATGACGTTTTTTCCACGGTGGTCTATTGTGAAATTGTACTTTTGCAAGCTAAGATAGACTGAGTACATGTTCAGAGAATGTCTACACTAATATAAAAACTGTCCTTATTGCCCATATAGTTATGTTTTGGCAAAGGACGCACAGAATTTGAGCCCTTATTTTGTCTGTGCAGGAAAACAAACTGAAATCGCAATCTTATGGTCTGCCTTTCTAGGTCATGCCTCTTTTACAAAGAGGATCAAAGCCTGTTTTGTTTTTAGTTTTATTTGTTTCTTTTCAATTTAATCACAGACACTGCATGCTTTCCCGGCTTAAGTGAGAGCCTTCTGTCTCTAAGGCCGGCTCAGTGGCTGAGGTCCACCGGTAAATAGTATTTAAGTTGCTAGTCTGTGATTAGAACCTTTTGTTTTTGGGGTCTGGGGGATTGTGACGCTCTTAACACATAAGAGAGGAGGTTGTGTACGCCGCTTAACCCTGCTTCAAGTGCTCCCAAACCCCCTTTCATTATTCTTATAGGCCTTTGTGTACAGACTGAATCCTGTTAGGATAAGACAGGGAGTTATCTGGGCCCAACTCCGCTCTTTTGGCTGCCCTCGCTGGATGGAGGCCCTGGTGGAAAGGGGAGAAGAGAACGAGGAGGCGAAGAGTTGGAGGGTTTGTGTGAGTGTGTGTTGTACAAGCCAGGGTCTTGTGGTGTTTTCCCCCATTTGAATGAGCCAGACTGCTCGTGTTACCATAATCCTTTCTCCCTCTCTACACGCACACACGCACGCACACGCACGCGCGCGACAGCTGTGTTTGGTTAGGTAAATGCCTGTGCCCCCACGCTCATCCCACCCACCAGCTCCTTCTTTAGATCCCCCCCACCCCCACCCCAGCTTCCTACAGCCTAAACCCCAACCTACGTTACATCCAGCTCATGAAGATGCAGTTCTGCAACGTTTTAGACTCTAACACCATTCACCACTCTCCCTGGGCCCCTTTTAAGATGGCCGATATGGATCAGTAACGAGTGGCTCTTTACTGTACCGTGTCCCCTGGAGAGCCTAGGGCCTACTGTTAGAGCATGAATATGCTTTTTAGCAGTCTGCAGTAATAAAATTGTCCACTGCATTAAAGCGTCAAGCACCTAGTTCCTGTCAGAGAAAATATGAGAGGTCAGGGATACTCTGTAGC